GAGGTGACAAACTCTGGACCATTCAGGATCTTATATCTCCTCCAGATCTGGCTCCCTTTGATTACCACCTTTTCCACCTCCAACGTCATCTAAATAACCGATACCAAATTCGCGACGACGTCGAAAAGGAGGAAAGCAGTTTGCAAAGATCAGCCCCTGGTGTTATAGAGCATGGTGTTTTCCGTTCAAAAGATGACGGCAGACCATCAATGCCAATGGGGCATGTTTCTAATGATTCACATACATCGATTAAAACATGTAAAAGGATCGAAAACATTTCCAATTCTTCCGCGAATTTTTGATTAGGCCAAGGTTACGAGCACATTCCAGCGTTTATGTATCTAAGATCACTGCCCTTCTCTTGGAATGATAGAAACAACCTGCGAACAACCGCAGTTCATGATAGCTCTAGGAATCTTTTTTTCAAGGTGTTCCAAGCGAAGAAGTCAGCTAGTTCGAGGGCTGTAGAACACTGGGTAGCAGTGACCCATTAACGTTATCGTTTCCACTCCCTAGAGATCGTAAAGGAAGATAAAACTGTGGCATTATCGGGTCTCGAGAAGCTGACAACAAGCTAAACTTTCAAGTGTACACGTCACCACATAAGAAAGTACGCCCACAAGTTTACTTCACCTTATAACTGGATAACAACAAACGGAGCAAGTAAACACATAGATCTAGGAAACAAGGTTACAATACAATAACTTTTTGTAAAAAATGAGTACAAATGAGAAAAATATAGAATAGTATAACAAAATGAAACGTACTAAGCGTAAAATTGGAAAAGGAAGCTATCCCACTGCCATGCACGAATGCTGTACGAATCCGCACAGATGTTCACTTCCCATCGTTTCTTACCCAACACAAATAGTATAAAGAGAGGAATCAAGAGATTAGTTCAATCTGATCGACACAGTCTACAAGCACTGTTGTTGAGAATGCTTCCCGCACGTGGTTTTCGTACCCGAACGAAATGACCTTGACTAATAATCATAAAACTGACGCTTGGTCTCGAACGTATCATCGCTTTCATTCTACGATAATCAGGAGCAATGACAATGACAGGAGCCCGGCTATTGCCAATTTATGAGGTTTCATCTAATAATCAGTTAGGTCCCACTCCACCCAAACGCATGCTTGCCCTTCGTCCAGTCCTTTCGCTCTGCGAGCCTTCCGTAGAGCTTATTTTGTTTCAGACCGCTACCGAAGAATGATGACAACAATTTCATTTCCTACCTAACTACAGTTTAACTGCTAGGTATGGGAAAGGAGATGGTAACAGTAAATAATAGCATTTGCTAACTGTTTGTAAGGAATGTCAAAAAGCAAAAGCTCGGTGCATCCCCTAGCAAAAAAAACTGCCTATCAGAGAATAGACAAAAGTTCATAGATAGCGAGATGAATGTTGAGCAGGATTAGGCTTACCCAAGGTAAGAGGCTAAGGAAACGTAAAACGCTTACTAAATCAATACAAATGATTCGTTTCGCCTCATTTCAGACTGATCACTTCGCTATTCACCTACCCCTGAGGCTCATCAGTGGATAGGGGTAGATGCAAATCACTTATCTTAGTGGTTCCGAGAATCCTATTCCTATGGACTCACGGTCACCGCGCTGGGCTAGGTACCAAAGTCGATGGCCATCTCTATCCAAGCAGAGCGTTTATAACCGACTACCTGATTAACTACAGCAACATCCCTGTTTTGAGTCGATCCCACGTAAGAAACAAGTGTTTGAAGGCTCTCCACATACGTGGCACCTGGTAGGTTCGAGCTCATTATTGATCGAAGCCGATATTTGAATTGACTCATAGGAAAACGAGATATTGCAGCAGACTGCTTCCCCTCTGAATGAAAACAACCCTAGCGGAATCTTCTGGACAAGCAGTGCGTCTTCCCATAGAACTAATACGAAGCAACGACCTATTTTAGGCACCCACACTTTTAGATGGAACTTTGAAAAAGTGACTTCCGAACAGTCCTAAACACTTCTATTCCAGCCGTATTCTTCCTTTTATTGCATTTCCTGAGGGTTCAAATGAAATAAAGCAAGGGCCGTTCAGTTTGAACGGTGATGACCGCGGCAAACAAACAGCTCCTAGGACTTCATACTTGTGAGACCTGCACCAACTGTGCCCACACCCAGCTTTGCCGCCCCTTCCCTGTTGTCTTAAGCAACGCACATTTCGAGGTGTTAGCAATTTTTTGCAAGCCTCCATTACCTCTACTAACTGTTTCATCAATTCTCTGACTCTGCTATGGTCTTGTTAACTGCTATCATTTCGCCGCAGTACGCAATGCCAAAGTCACACAGGATTGGCGTATGGGCAAAATTAACCGTTCGGGCGAAACTACTTTGTAAATCTAGCTTAACTCAAATATTCTACTGGGTTCAAACTTCCAAATACACTGATGTTCAAAACCTAGGGGAGCGAATAATCATAGGTAAAAATTGTTAGAAAAAAAATAATATAAATTTTGTAGCAATACGTTGTTAAATTCTCCTGCCATTTTTTATTTATTTGGTGCACGCTTAGGTGCGCTAATTGCAATTCGACGATCACATTAATTCAACAGCCTGCAGTAAATAAAAGTAAAGCATGGTTTAAAACAAAAAGTAAGGAGATCTCTAGCCAGGTGAGTAGAAAAAAATGAACGAAAATCGAAGCGCTTTTTAGGAAGATTAGATGAGTACCAAGAGCTATATGATGGTTGGAAAGCATCCACATTTAATTTTATATGAGACTCTTCACGCCTATTTTACTGAGAAAAACTTTGAAAAAGCTAACCATACGGTAGCAACCCTTCCCGGGTGTGGTACAGTAGGAACGAAATTGTCGCGTCGCGGCGAGAGAGATGCCGGCGCGAAGGGATGTAACAGAGTGCAGCAGTAGGTAAGAAATTCAGGAACAAAAGACCTAACAGTAGAATCATACCAAAAGTAATAATCGCATAGCGATTGAGCTGTATGAAAAACGCTAGAACTGTTATAACGAGGCAAACGGTCCGCGACAGCCGCGTGCGGCGGAGCGATTACGGCAGAGCGAAGCGAGCGAAAACCGTTCCTACGGTTCGTATCCCATTCTTTCCACGTAGAGCCGAAATTTCATCCCACTTGGGAGTGACACTTCCGCAAGAAACTTCACTATTTTTACTTACTTTACCTTATTTGACTTGATGTCTTTTTAACTGCTGTTATTTCGCCGCAATACACGATTCGAAAGTCTCACAAGGTTGGCAAGATATGGGGAAAACTTCGGTCTCGATAGTGTAAGGGATAAAGTACGGTGCCCGGATAGCACAAGTACGAGTTCGAAACTCGTCCGAGACCGAAGTTTTGACCATAACTTTGCAATTTCGCTGAAGATTTGCACAACAGTGCACTTCACGCGTTAGTTTTAATTTCGCAATAATCAAAAGAAAAACCAGTACTATCACCAAGACTATACATAGGCAATAATGTCACTGATAACGACACCTTATTGATAAAAATAAATTTATCACCTTTCGGTCACTCTTAAACGTGGGAACATTTGCAAAAACAAAAAATAAAAATGACATGACATAAAGAAAGAGTTATAATGTTCATCAATCAACAAGAATGAGACAAAGAGAAAAAAGTGAAAGGTTTGGATTGACAACAACAAAGCGAGCGACGATGGTCACATGGGTGATGACGGTAGAGAAGAGTTAGATGGGAGAGAGGAACTTTGTCTTTGTGAAACTATGCCTACAGAGCACAGCCTACCCGCTGTAAATGTCAAATGTGTATGGTACCAAAACAAGAAATCAGCAGCAAAGAGCAAGATGAAGTAAATAAAAACAATTCGAAAGAGAAATTGCTGTTTTTCACTGAGTAAGACCAAATCAAGTGAATCAGGGCGCATCATAGCGCACCATTGTATTATCAGCTATCACTTATCAACTAGAACATTATAGCTGCGTTATACATGTGAATGCACCTCATACAAAGCGTATATACAGAAATAAAAATTGTAAAAAAAANAAAAAAAACAACGATATCAACATTCGCGATATCATTTGTATTCTGACTAAAAACTCTATCAAATGGACTCAATGCTACCGGTGAAAGCAGTAAGTAAAATATGAGATTTTGACACGGAATAAAGTTAGAAGAACCATGACTCATAGACAGTAACACCCACGAAAACGGAATTTCAGTCTTCAGCTGTCCGGGCAAGTCGCCCACACCACAAAATGATTTTGGAATTGGTCAAGACACCAACTAGAATCGTTTTTATTGGAGTTCGGAATTGGTCAAGATACCCGACTAGGATCGTTTTTATCTTATTCCACAGACGACGTGATAAAATGAAGGAAATTGGGAGATTTAGAAAGTTCGAAATGACGGGCAAACACTGTCATCAACTGAGATTCGCCTAAACTTAACACCGTTCAGAATACCCCAGTATTTTGTGCCCTGAACCACTGTTTCCTGACAGACCGAGGCCAAAAAGCCCGATTCCCGAGTTGTGTTACTGCTTATAGAGAGAGCAAGTTCTAAACCATTTGATAGGATCAACTTGAAAACGCTATGCCGGTCTCGGTATGACTACGCGTGAATGAGACTGAATCTGAGTTTCAGAAGCTGATCGGCAGAATTGCATTGGCGAACAACTCTCCAGAAGGTCCTTTCCGGCGCTGGAGGGTAGAGACACAAATGCATTGTCATGTCAGTAAAAGCGTTAACCTTGCTTGGTCTCTATCCGCTAGCCGCACGGTGAGCCCCGTAGGATAGGGTACACTGATTCAAGATTGTGAAACAGTACCAACGCCAATGCACTCTGCTATCTGATCAGATCAGCAAAAGACAACCGAGACTGGCACAACGCTACAGATCACCCTGTGCTCATTAACGGCAGTGCTCTGGAGATACAGAGAGTTATCGGATTATATCCCGCAACCAGGTGCTATCACAGAAACGCAAAACGATACACGAATACAAGGAGGATGACGAATCAGCTCAGTCAGCTTGCTGTATCAGACCCAACTGTCGTCCATTCCACGAGGTTGATTTCCTTTTCGAACTGATGCGTAAAGCGGTTCTCGCGTGGCGCCTCTGTCATTTCGCGTTTGACCGTTCAGAGTTGGTGGTGTGTTGGCCTGTTGCTGCGGCTGGTACTGCTGCTGGTACTGCGGTGGTTGAGGGCGACGATGCTGAAACGGTTTATACTATGAGTAACGGTTTTGATCGACTTGAATCTACCACTGCACAAACTCCACTATCCCACAAAGTAAGATGTGAGAAGAAACAAAAAGCACACAGTCGACATCAGTTAATCAACTAATTTGTTCTGCTTTCACATATTGTTACAGGCTTCTAAGATAAGTTGTATTTACCTTTACCATCAGCTGATAGCGTATGCGATGACGCCTCAAATCAACTGCATAATTAGTAGTTAATGCTGCTTGAAATCATACAGCATAATACAAAAAATGAAATAAAGCAAAACATGGAAAACACTGAAATTACCTGAGAATCAGCAACTGCACCATAACCGCTGCTCAGCGTATCATCTAACAGGGCTTGCGCAGGTCTTTCACGTCCTTGGCTTGAGATCGGACGTCCAAGAGTTGCCGAATCACCCCTTAAACCATCACTTGGTCAAAAACATCTCAGAAAGTCAAAATAATGCCAACATTTTCAATAGACAACATCAAAACCGCTTTTGTGGGAGCAGTCAACGTATCGGAAATGACTACAAAGGCGCAAATCAAACGCTATAGAAAGAAAATTGCAAAATTGAAGAAAAGTATTATGAAGAGGGCAACATTGGAAGATAATACTACCAGAGGTAGAAAAACCAATGAACAAATAAGTAAACAAGTAAACAAAGAAAAAGACCAACCTAGCTGTGCCTGAGTAGAAGTCCGCCTCTTTCAGACCACTCCTCTTGAATCCGTCATGGAGTTCTTTATGTTGCCACATCATGAATAGCACTTGGGTGGCATACTTGCACACTCGATGGGAATACGTCGGATAACTACGAGCAAGTGCACGGAGTTTCTCAGTTCCTAAACACCAGATACTGGAAATCAGATCAATCATCATTCGTGGCGCTGTGATACTGGGTATCACAATAAACAATGTCCTTTGATTCAGATTCCTGTACAGAACTCGATCTCTTGCTTACTTATACGCGCTCATTCTGTTCTCTCATCGAGACTGGGAGCTACTCTTTTGAGAGACCGTCGCATACGACTCTTTTCAGGGATACTCCACTCTTCAAAGATTGCCCATGCTGCGGGAATGGTACGAAGAACGTTAGCAAACGTATTTCAAAAGCCTTCAGGTAAGAAGTAGGCCTACCTCGAGCCTCGTGAACATCTTTAGTGAATGCAGCACTACTCCGAACCACTTCAAAAAGAATTCCAAGAACAGCTCCAATGGTCTGATCACTGATAGACGGTCGACGAGGTCCAGCATCGGGAAGCTTTTCGATCAAATCACGTAACGCGTACTTCCCTAAAAACACGTTTCAGCCTCGGTGGATTACTCGAGTATTAGCTCCACTGAAGATACAAATCGTAAGCTTACCTATCAATTCTCGATTCCTGGGATCCAATGAGAGATTCCGTAGAGCCGTAGCAACTGCACAAACCACGTAATCCTCCTTCAGTCGGATCAATTCAACCAGTACTGGTAGACCTTTTTCGACTCGAACAGCCGAACGAACTTCAGCACTGGGAGTAAACTGACAGGCAGCCAGATTTTGGATTGCTCCAGCAGACGCCTAAAATGTACAGCAATGTGACACCCACACATAAAACGAAAGGTAGGACTCACTTCAAGAGTATCCAGATTTGAGGCTTCTTGTAACAATTTCAGGTAAAGCTTCACAACATACGGCTGCCACAAGACTGCGGGACCCTGTAAACTTCCCATTGTTAGTTCGACTGTATACGATCGTTCAACGGTAACACTGCATTCTCGCCCAGGAAAATGATATAATCGGCAGTCTAATATGTATGTAATAGACGTAGCTACCGCTCGTCTTCTGAACCATGTCACGTAAATTCTTTGATTACCATCCCGTTTCTCTAAAACTCCTGGTTCCATCCCAGATATCAAACTTGCCTGAGAGATCAGGTTCTTACAACAACAACGAGTTTTTTGGAAACACGGCGGCAGTGGGTGGTTGCCAGAACTAAGCGCCTGCCTCAAACAATAGGAGCCGCAGGTCAGGGAAGGAAGGGGTGCTGCCTTTGAGGGTCTGTGGTGCTACTCAGAAACGACTCTGACCTCGTCCAACAAGTCAGAATGGACCGAAAGTATTTTATCACTCCGAGAGAGCACAAGCACAGCGAGCGGGACGTCTGATCCACGGTACAAAAGGCAACGTAAATACCGAAAACTTGAGATAATCAGCATCAGAGGATGAAAATAACAGCCCTTCCAACAATTATCAAATCTTGCTTTTAATATTGAAGGAGAAAAACAATGTGATAAGAATCAGTATTAAAACCAATTAGAGTAAGCAAAAAGAGCATTTTCAGGCAGTCAGTCAGTCGTCTTCGTACGTTTCGGATTCTATGCCAAATCCACCAGCGAAAGAGGACACATGGGCGTTTCAGAAGATCGGGAGCGCCTTCCCACCAAATCCTGTCAAGGCAAGCTAGGGTAAATGAGCAACAGGATGTACAGGTGGACTGAAGTCTTATTGCAGTGCTTGGGACAACAAAACATGTATGTCGCGCTGTGGTACAAACACGGAAAACCAATTCATGGCCGATCATGGAATAATGGTGGAGTCGTCGAGTGCTCATTCCCTTTCAAGAAAGCCGAATTGAGAACCGCCCAACAGCTAGAGGGAAATATTCAGGTAAGTCAATTGACGGATGCTCCATTGGATAGTTTGAATTTACATACTTCTAGGTACTTCAATATGTAGGAGACCACAACACACAGGGATTTTGGTATGAATGGATCCTTTACAAAGATAGATTCGACAAATCACAAGGTCGAGAAATTGTCCGATGCGGAGACTCTATCCCCATTCTATGGAAGGACCGTCCCGAGGTATAGTTTAAACTTTAAAAAAATTAACTTAAACTTCATTTGTGCCATTATTGGGAACCACCGTTAACATCGTGATTCTCCGGAACTACTATCCTGACTTCCCGTCGACGTTGATAAAGCACCCTCCCATACACGTCACGAAGTAAGCGAAGAGCGGTGGATGACCGAGTTGTCGCGTCCCATGAGCTTGCTCAGACGTTCACCCGTCCGAGATTCACCGGATCCCCGCTCCCTATCCAACACTGAAAGGCCGCTTAGTCCGGCTATAGCTGTGCATCATTAAGACGATACAGATCGAAGGTTTGGTCTGACCGATAGCCCATTTAGTAGAATCCGAGCAAGCTTTTCATATCACGGTGGTCAGTTACACTAAGCAAACAATGTGATAGACAATTGATAAAGGAAGAGCAAAGCGATCATACGCCATCTACGCCGTTCCTGCATCGTAACGCAGATAGTGTATCTTCAAAGAAACACCCCATCATCAATGTCAAAGAGCGTTAGCGGCCTGTGTATAACAGAGCCACTTAACAACAACAGCAACGACAACACTACCAAAAAAGTGGAATAACTTGCGATTCGGCTTTATGGGTAAGCCAGGCCGATCCGTTTAATGCGGAACCGTCGCGCTATTTGGACACGTTCCTAGCGCTAATTCTCTTACAGGGTGCTCTTCTCGGCTACGTCGACAATAAAACTGAAATAGCCTTATTCTCTTGCGATGGAAAAGTATATGAGAAACAAGGAGGCGATCTCAAAAATATGTATATCATTACGAGAAACCTTATCGGTGGCCCACCATATTGTGAATGTCCAAATTGCAAAGTTGCACCACCTCCTCCAGGACCACCACCGCCAAGGTAATTTTACATTACTTCGAAAAAGCATCAGGGACTAATGTAATCTAGTCTGCTTTTAGAGTAATGATTGATGAGTGGATGGATCTGCGTGCGGGCGATGCGTGGCCAGACAGACCTCTGGTGAAAGCCCTTGATAAGACTCTTGACACAATAGCTGGAGAAAACCCAGATCAGTTTGTTGCCCTGTGGTACCAGGCTGGAGAGCCTGTCATGGGACGCGTTTGGAACGAAGGCGGCAAGGTAACTTCTACACAAATCACCAAAACAGACGACGCGAATAAGCGCTTTCAGGTGGCTGCCAACTTCTGCTGGAATAAGAACGAGTACAAGGGGAACGTTGGTTCGATACAGGTGCTCGTACATCTCTCAGAACACGTCAGAGGTTTCGACTACAAGTGGCTGCCATACCCAGAGGTTCGCCACATTGAACCGTTTACCACAAGAGACCATATCCTTTGAATGTTCTGCAGGCGGCATCGTTCGACAAGGACAAGGAATGGCTCCCAGTGCATGTCAACAATGCAAAGGGAGATATTTCCGCTGGTGTGATCACGATCAACGGGAAGCAGATTCTTGGAAAAGTCGACGTGAGAAACGAGAAATCTGCAGCAGGATTCGGTGGCAAGGAAAACATGCTTGTTGGACCGGAATGTGCTAAGAACACCATAGTATTGTGCCGTAAAGCAAGGCCTGGATACAAATTTGATTAGACCCATAAATTATTTGCTGCATCATGCATGAATTGACAACAATCATTGTGCAGTCATAAAGCTATCGCAGATCGTGAAGGAAACAAAAAATAAGGCAACAAAAAGAGAACGGTTTCTAATTGTCGCAGAGTGATGCTAAGTGGCTTCGGCGGCGTTGCGAGACAATTATATCACGTCCCAGCACTGTTCACTCGCAAAAAAGGTGTAGGGTTGATGCGAGCACATAGGAAGAAGACGGGAAAGTGTCCATTAGGGCAGAGCGTTAAAAGCATGCGTTATTGAACATTCCATGAAAAGAAATGTATAGCGATATCGATTGGGAGATTCGGATGATCCTTAACTATTATAGCTCTCACATATTATGCTTGGCAAATACCTCGTAAAATGAAAATTACTAGAGTTACCACGACGTTTCCCTGGGCAATCTATGTTGGCAACTGAAAAAAAAGCCTAGTTCACTGTGCCCTTGCTATTACGAGAAGCCTTGGTAAGTTCTCGATAGAGTCCGTGGATGCCGCTTTGGCATTCAGAACGACACATTTCGAAAACCTAGATCACCACTTTCAGATGTTTTCCGATTAACATTTAGGGTGCTAGCCGATATCGTTTTCTGATATAGATGTTCAGTTGAGAACCTAATATCCTGGGTAGATTACAATAACTAAAAGTGCCGGGCGGAGACAAACACAGTAAAGAGCAGCAGCATCGTTTGATTAAAAATTAATCTTCTCACCTTCTGCGATTCATGAATGAGTCGTCTTTACAAAAAAACCTCCTATCAACTCAAAAAATAAGCGACCTCAGCGCTACCACCTAATAACACCACAGTGTTGTGTAGTATGCAACAGTTACATAAAACTCAACCAAGCAGAGAATCAATCTTTGGAAATAATTTACGCTCATATAACAAACATATGTGTCAAATATATTGAAACATAACTCACCACCACTACCTCTCTCGCGTGCTCTCGCCTTTTGTCTTTGTCTTTCTTAGGCTTTGGACTACTCGGAGCAGACTTGCCTCCTTTCGTGTACAACATATGTGCAGTAGCAGGATCATAATTCGGGTCTTCAACTTCTTGTATTCTAAACACGAAACTAAGGAAATGCAATCCCAAAATGATACGTACAAGTTTAACGCTGAAGATTGTACCTGTAACTCAAATTGCGAAGCAGGCATACGACATTTTCAACAGTTTGCGAGTCAACCTGATTCCGTTGAATCGCGATAGTTAGAAAATGGACAAGGCCTTCGATGAGATTCGGGCAAGCCCGAAGCCGTTTCCTGGCGGCCGCGTTAGCAGCGCTGATGTTCCTAAACATAAACATATTAAGTGAAAAGAATAGCAGAAAAGCAGAGCCTCCATGTAGGATCAGAGAACAACAAGCATCAAATGATAATAGATAATAGTGACTGCGATCTTGCGAAAGGATCAATCAGCAGACCTCTGAGAACTCAGTACTCTTAACCCTGACTTTAAAAAAATTTCCGGCAATCTCCAGCCAATCGTAGAAAGGTGGGCAATAAAGGAATTATCTAAACCATACCTTGCCAGCGTTCAAATAAGGAAGCTACTATACTCACTCTTCTACTCATCTACAATAAAATTGACTGAAAGTGATCTGATGATTCCTGACTTGCACTTCCGGATATGTACCATTCTTCCTCAGATTACAAAGAAGTGGAATACTACCACATTGACAATCAACAAGTAAGGAGCACGGCAGTTGACACAGACAATACTCATGAATAACATCATAACACCATCACACTAACCTGAGCACACCGGTAGCATTCTTGAAAGTGGCTGTGCTGTAGGGTCGAAGCGGATCGCTGTCGTTCGGGATCCCATTGGCTTGATAAACCGGAGTAGCAGCAACAACCTGTTAAACTAGGTTGTAAAACGAAGGAAAACAGCAAATCCAATGTATATGAATAACAAACCTGTTGAACCAATGCATCAGTGGCTGCATCAAGAATTACTGGTTTCAGCATATCAGCACTGGATAGATTCCACAACGCAGCGGTCGCTTCTTCTTTTACCGCAGCGTCATGAGTTGAGTGAAGAACAGCAGATAACATTCGAACTCCATCAGCATCAAGAATGGCCAACTGGAACAAAACAGCATGCTGGCAGGAAATCAAGAGGAAATTTTAATTAAGGAGAAATAACACGATATTGAGACCACAGGCTATCGAATTGAAAGCTCCCACCTTGTTCTTGTCATTTTCCTTTCCGAAACAAAGGTTTTTCAAACAAGCACACGCATTCTTCTGAATAACTGGCATATCGCTCCTCAATAATTGAACCAACTTCGGAATTCCCCCATACTCTCTGAAAAAGTAGCACTGTAGAGATAACAATGAGCGACTTCGAAAGCAGTAACAACCTGAACACACACCTCGTTTCATCTTTGATTAGATTATCGCTGAATGTCAAGTGCTGTAGGTAACCGCTCGCGTTTAGTTGTTTTTCCCGGTCAGGATTATCCAGGTAGTCAATCACCTCTTTCAAAGAAGGATCACGCCATTGTACTGAAACAGTATTCCAAAAAATGAGCAACCCAGGACTAATAAGATATCGAGACATTTTGTAAATGAGAATTTCAATGAACAAGATTGTAAAGGATCTCTCACAATTGCCGTTTCCCTTTCCATGACGTAGAGGTGGTGGAGAATCATCTCGCTCAGGGAGCGGAGGAGACTCCCGTACCATCTCCTCCATGAGCAATTTGACCGCACCAAAGCGCTCTGCTTCCACATATTTAGCCTCACCGGCTGCAAAAAAAGAACGGCAGAAATCTTAGCACAGCCAGTCCAAAACCGCCAGCAATAAACCAAAGCTCACTTCCAGTTGCATGGATTTTAACCGGTGGAGACGCCTCAGATGGTTCCGAACAACCGACGACATTATGTGCAAGCACTCGAAACTGATATTCGTGCCCGACAATCAGATCGCCGACTATAAACAATCAATCACGATAGAAGAAGAAAAGCAACACACAAAGGTGAACAACCGATAGCGAAGCTTATCATGAGAGTTCACTATTTGAAGTATGGCAACTACTTATTGAAAGAAGTTCGTTGAACCAAACACCACACAAAAACGATACAAAATCATGAAATCTAAAATTTCTTCATTTCAATTGCAGAATTCTTTGGTGGTCAGTTTTAAATGAGAGCAATTACATGAAGTATGAAAACGGCAACCAGTGGTTCGCTGATTCAAGAGAATGACCAAGTGGGAAAATCCTTTTTCGGTCTTCTAATTCCTTTAATTCCTTTACGGGAAAGAGAGGTACAGAAAGTCCGAACAAAAAATATTTGAAAAAGTCGAAAACGAACTTCTTGGGTAATTTGTTGAAGAAATAAATGAGGAGCCAAGTAGGAAAATGAAATATAGAAAACACTTAGTAACCTCACCTGTCATTTTACAGGCATGTACAGGCTGATCATTCACTTTGTACCAACCTGCGTCTTGTTGGAAATCGCGGAACTCAACATCATACCCCTTAAAATATCAAAAGGTAGTTAAATGGAAAAAGGTAATGCTAGGACACGGGAAACACACCAAAACTGGAAGGGCACTATGGGCGGGTAGCCAACATATTGTGATCCTTTCGCCATCAATTTCCAGGTATTCTGGAGCTTGAGGCCTGGCAGGAGCTCCTCGAGCAGTGGATGCTGAAAGTTCATTCAATTTTGAAACGAATGTAGAGGTAACACTAATGTATGTGAACTTCAAATAAAAATTGAGAAGGCCTTACGTCTCCAAAGGGGACGAAGCGATATAACATCGGATACTTCCGAGGGGATAGAAGCTGCATCACCAGCTACACCAATCACGCGGAATTCAAAGGAGGACCCAGGTCGAAGTCCTTCCACTGAAGCAAAATGAAAATAACCGAAAAAAGAGAAGAGAACAAAGTTCAATCCAAGAATAGGAAGGAAACGTTTTGGGGACTCTCAACAACTAATTTTAGAAACTAAGGCACAACGTTCCAACAGAAACTTTGTTTCAATGACATTTTCGTCGGTCCAGAATAAACAGGGAAATGAAGAGCTTGAAAATCTAGCCCGAAGAAAAGGAAGAAAAGAAAGAAGAGAAGGAAAACCTAAAACTCAATCGACTCACCATGTATACAGTTGACAGTGATGGGATGTGGATTCGCAGTATACCAGTTGGGATCACCAACTTCGCGAAACTCCACTATGTAGCCGGCCCCAGGCTCAGATGCAGCCCATTCCATTTTCACCCAATCCATGTCGGCTTCAACAAGCTCAAACAGTAATCATCATACAGTTCGGTGCAACAGCATTCATTACAATTATGACAAATGAGAACCTGTGGTTGACCAGGCGGTCGTAACCCAGGGAGAACCGGTCTTGAACCAACGCCTCGCTGGGGTGCTGCAGGCTTAATGTGGGTAGCTCCAGAAGACCGGCTTGGTGCACCGAGCCCTTCGGCATTTCGACCACGTACACGAAACTCGTACACACCATTTGGTCGGAGACATTCAACTATGAAGCGAGGAGTTAAGAAAACGTTGAACCAACGGCTCAGTAAAAAAGGAAAAATAAAGAGCATTATTTCTAAAACGAACTTGTGTAAGTACACTCTTGTACTAGAGCATCATTGGCAACCATCCAATCCACAGTGCCGTAAACTCGGTATTCAATCTGCAATAAAAAAAATCCCAAAAACTCAAAAAAAAAACTAAAAATCTGGGTATTTCTTGAGTTCTGATTACGACTTATATTGAAGAAATATACGTGAGAAGTAGGTATCCACTGCTAGACGCGTATAGCAAACAGGTCAAAAACTTATGAACAAAAATGCTAGGGAAATACTGATACATAGAAGTTAAGGCTAGTCGTGATCCAATGAAATGAAAGCAAAAAGAAGATGAATTCGGTCAATTATTCAAAAAAAAACAAAATGCAGAAGAGCTGCATCTCCTCTCGTTGTACGAAAATATGACAAATGAAAAACCAAGAAAAGAGTTAGAGGAAATCATTTTGTGTTACTTATATAGGCCCTAGATTTATGCCAGGAATTCCCCTTGCAATGAAGTACCACTAGTGCGTAGAGAATGTGGGTAATGTTCTTTCTCAAGATTATACGCACAATAGGTGAAAAGCATCAATCATGATCAAGAGCGCATAAAAAAAGCAAAGACACCAATCACCTGATACCCTGTTACCGGCGCATACGTTGGATCAACAGCAGGTGGCGTCCACTCGATCGTTGCCCGATGTCCGTCCACCGATATTACTGATGGTCGGCCCGGTGGCAAAGGAGTTCCTGAACTTAGAGTTATAACACGATAGGATCTTGATTTCACAGAAAGAAAAGAATGCAGACACAGTCATGCGAAAGCAATATGTACCCATGACTAGCGCCGTTATTCGGCATAGCCCTCGGAATCAACAAGATTTCGACGATTGAACAAGATAAGGACGCCAAACTGGGGCAAACTCGATACCAAAAGACACCGATCGAACGTGGGGGAGGCAGCGAGACCATGAACTGGGAACAACTAGGGATTGTATTACCAATACCTACAATGAACAGTTGTTCTCTATTGGATATTATTCGGTTATCACACGAACCGCATCAAGCTTTCCAACGATGTGAAAACACCGAAAAAATGAGGAAATGGAGTACCAGCGCGACAGTTCGTGAATCCTCCCCATATTAAGACATCCTTTTTCAATCAAACTTTGGAATCCCACTTAGAAGGGATTTCAAGAGCAAAGGATTCTAAGGGCATTTCAAAGGATTGGCAAATCAAATAGCTGTAAGGAAGAGCAGAAATTCGTATTCCACAAGGGAAGGGCACGAAAGCGCACTGCTACGTGACCTGACACCACGTGCACTACCAGTGTGACCACTACGAGAAATCAATTCGTGATTTTCGAGTAAACATTACGATATTGGTCATTAAAAGCGGAATAGAGGTGCAAACACGGACGGCATGCTGCGCGGACGCCCTTGACACACCAAGCCTGTGCTGGTACACAGGAGGCGCGCATATAACAAATACTACACGATGTGAATGTTTCACGAATGAAACCACGCGTAACAAGAAATAAAAAATGAACAAAAACGAAAGAACTAAAGATATACGAATGAAACGACTAACGGCAGGACTCCCTTCCGGTCGTCTCGTGAGGTACTAGTACAGGAACTGATGACATCGACGGTGGTCCAAAACCACCAGGACCTGCTGCTGACACGCGGAATTGAAGTTCACCAGAGCAACCCTCCAGATTAGTGACTGAAAAAANAATACGACAAGGCATTTGTATGGAAAAATAATTTTTCAGGATACTATAGGGCAAAAGGAGAGGGCTTGCTCTGTAAGGAACGATACCGACGCGCACAGCGCAAAACGTAAATTGCGCAAGGTCAACGATATAAAATCTCTACTGAACATGAAACTCCAGTGGTCTTCGTGCGATTAGAAGTAACACGGTGCCCTTGGAGACAAAAATATGCATCAAAGTCAAATCAATAAAAATATGAAAATAGCAAGCACCTGCTAACNTATAAGGTAACCAACTTAATTGAGCACCAAAAATAAGTTAAAATTTATACATCCCAGGGGATATCTGACCCTGTAAATTAAGGCATTGCCAGTTCTATCATAGCAGATTGGAACTTCAATAATTAAGTGAGTTCCTAGCTCGACGATGGTTGAAAGATGATTTCGGGGACTTTCTTACAATACGACAAGGCATTTGTATGGAAAAATAATTTTTCAGGATACTATAGGGCAAAAGGAGAGGGCTTGCTCTGTAAGGAACGATACCGACGCGCACAACGCAAAACGTAAATTGCGCAAGGTCAGCGATATAAAATCTCTACTGAACATGAAACTCCAGTGGTCGTCGTGCGATTAGAAATAACACGGTGCCCTTGGAGACAAAAATATGCACCAAAAGTCAAATCAATAAGGACATGAAAATAACAACCACCTATTGACTGCGAAGAAAGTATATAACTCACATTATTGGTGTAAATAAGCAACAAAACAGGTTGCATATATGATGTTATCTACATGAAATCAAAACATCTCATAACTACGGCCCAAAAATCGTTTCACGAAACACAGGTGGGCAACAGAATTAAATCAAAGTTCAACAAAATAGAAAATAGTTTTCAAATGGTAGGAAAAATAAGGTCAGGAGTTCCCGGACGTAAGTGAGTATAGAATAACTTCACAACAAAAAAGAGACCTGAGCCAATATTCTCTTTGATGATGGGCAGATGTTTGAACTTTTTTAGTCGCCATAACCTTGTCAATCAAGTCATGNATATGATGTTATCTTCATGAAATCAAAACATCTCATAAATACGGCTCCAATATCGATTCACGAGGAACGGCTGGGCATCAAAATAAATCAAAGTTTAACAAAATAGAAGATAATTTTCAAATGGTAGAAAGAATAAGGTTAGCGGTGGTTCCTGGACGTAATTGAGTAGAAAAACTATACTACTCTCTTTGATGATGGGCAGATGTTTGAACTTTTTTAGTCGCCATAACCTTGTCAATCAAGTCATGACCCAAACATATTAAAGGCTCCTAAAACTAGTGCAGCCATCTACCTCTCTAATGCCCTTGACCAACGCTATTTACTCCTCAATCAATCCTTTAGGAATTGTTTGGAACTAAAACGTCAAAAGACATTAAGTTTAAGAAACCTTATATCACAACTAATAGTAATAGAAGCGAATGAACTTGAAGTTTGTGAGATTCTATCGCAATCCTCCCCTATTCCTTTCTTAAGGTATTTTTTGCTCTTTGCTCACAATTTGTGACCCTTCCGGTACTTTTCTTATGACGCTAAACATGACCGTAGTCTTCTCTGACTGGGAAATTCCTGAGGTGACTTCTACACCGGGGGTGAAGGAACCTAGTGTTAGAACTACAGGTTCCCATCTCGTTCGCTTATTTGAAAAAAAGCCAAATAATTATTTTGCCTGTGGTTCGCTTATTTGCAATAAGAAAGACAGGGAAGGGGAACACAAAAGGGGTTAAAAAAGCGCCGTGCTAGAAATTTAAAAAGCGAAAGTGTGGAAAGACGAGTTTGAGAAATTTCTGGCAGTGTTGTTAGTAGACTGCTTAAAAATCTGTGGTTCTTATGGAAGGGCTCCATATGACCCTTGACATTAGAATAGCACAAGAAACATTGGATAGAATATGTTTTGAAGATTTTACAGATAGTTAAAGTAAACCAAAGCAGCACATAAAACGGAAAAAAGCTACTCTCTGACGTTCTCGAAAGCACAGATTTGCTTCAAAAACAAAAAAACCTGAGTCCGCAGGAAATACGATTGGAAATAAAATTAGAAAAAGCGCAATGTAATGAGGAAAGGAAGGCGGCGGCTGACTGGAAAAAACCAGGATCCTTTGTGAGCAGACAGCTACCAACAGCACATGCCACATCATCAAGGACACCCTGGAGTTAGTACGTGCTTGGGAACCCATCACCATTATCCTGTCTCCACCCCAACAACAAATGCTTTGGGGCAGCTACTCATGAACAAGCAATCAGCCAACAACAAAAAAAGCAGATTAAGCGTAAGCTATACTATTTGGAGATTCCATTGAGTGGCCCTTATACGTCAGGCGAGAAAGAATAACTTGAAGCTCTTAAGCAATAAAATATATCAGAAGGTTGCCATATATGTGCCACTACGTCTCAAAACAAACTCAAGGGAGCAGTTAAATGATGCGTGACGGTATCACAGTAATTTTAAAACATCATTAAGAGAAAATCGATGGCGAATATTGAAGCGATTCATTACCAATGAGTTTTATACATTTCACACCTAGTTTACCGTTTCCAAATCGCTGCAATTTCCTTGGAGATCGGCTTTGCCTATAGTCCACATCGTTCACTTGGTCGGTCCATCGGACTCTCAACCTTGGTTTTCTTGGTTTAGCTTCCGGCGATGGAGATGCTCTAGGGATACGAGAGCCACAACTTGACCCTTTACGGCGTCTTCGTTCCACACTATGAATTCTCGTTGTTCGAATTGTTTCACGAATCACTATAGTGCTGGTGATCATCAATTTCACCTGTAAGCCTTGTGTTACAGCTTTTTGGGGAATTGGTCTGGTACGACGACATACTACCAAACAGTCGCGAATACGAAAAAAGATACAGCATAAGAAATGAAAAGTGTAGGTTCTCAAAATAAAAACTCCCGAGCCTTTCCCACGTGCTACCCAGCCGAAGATGATGGTGAAAGAGGAATTTGGAGTAAATTCTCAAGTGCGCCCTTCATGAACTTCCTCTTCCTGTAGTGCTGCTATTAATTTCCCAAAGATAGGAACTGGTATTGATAGACGCTTTAGTAGACTCAAAAACCATTGACCAACAACCTGAGCTTCACTCAACAACTGCGAACAATATGTAAGGGTGAAAACCTGATTCGCCCTCCCGTGGAAAGAGATGAAAACACCTAAAGTGCATTCCGAAAAATGCACTCACCTAAGAGCAGTTGTCTAACAGGTATACCAAATCTGCCACCAGCTGGAACCTCTCGCTGTCTCGTAGCTATCAATTTCAGCTCCATTGCAAAGAAATGAGTAATTAAGGAACGCGAACAACTTTTTAGGCTAGGCTTATTAGTAGCACATTGCGCTTTTCCAAGAAAAAGATTCCAATTCAACGGATCTTGCAAAAGAACGAGCAGCAAGTTGGAGCCTGTGAAGAACCGAACTTTCGGAGCAAAGGATATTTCTATTCGAACAAAAAAAAGGTATCTGATTTAAAGGCGCTATGTGTCAAAAATAACGGTAGACACATTCCTCAGGAACCGAACGTCACAATACTTTACAGCTGTCTCATCGAATATACAGGGGAAGAGTGAGGACTGATATGAATCAGGCCTCCAGCCGGGAGCTACATACAGATGAGTAAGCCGTTCCAAGAATAATGAAGGCTCTTAAGAATACTACTCTCAAAAACATTGATCGATGCCTTCTAGGGAGAAATTCTGCAATTTAGCAGAGAGACTACCAGAAAGGAAATATCAGAAGGACGGCGTGCGGAAGTGAAAATGAAGAGCTCAGAGCGCCAGGAGAGTCTTTTGTATATAGCAGAGAGAGAGCAAGGGGAAAGTGTCAGCGTGCCCTTTGATGGAGCCTTGTTATAAACATAAACTAGGAAAGAACACGATAAACATGAGTTTATGAAGCAATCCGCGACAAAAAGCATGGACCATAATGGGGCGTAAAAGATTCTCAGTGAAAGGCTTAATCATTTTGGCAAAAGAAGCTGTGTTCGAACTAGATAAATCATATACTAAAGTGAAACCTGTTCCTGTTGGAGGCACACTCCAAACAGGTTGGATTAACTCGGGGTGTTAAACAAGAGCTGCACTTCCCTCACCGATTCCTGGGTCTTAGTAACGAAGACTCGTGGGAAAGTGGTCAGAAACCAGTTTTTGCTCTCTTCAATTTAATGAGACTAAATGTAAGAAAAATGGGACAGTAGAACCACTTCAAATATAAAAAATCCGTAAACGATTTACAAAGAAAATATCTGACACCAAAGTGTAATTGCGAAAACTCGTAATCACCAAACGTCGCTACACCGGATCGCCGAGGAAAAACAAATAAAGAACAAACTCATCTGAAGTAAAAGCAAAAAATCTTGGACAAACCTGTGCATGTCGTGTCTTGCAGCAGCTGATCATGGGCTCGTTCCCAATCTCCATCTGGGAACTCGCGTAGCTCAATCTTAAAACAAAACTCCTATAAGCTGCGCAGAAAAAAAACTCGCATAACTGTTCTTCACTTTTTTAGCTTTCGTTTTCACGACATTCACGACAAGCCATAGAAATCAGAAAATTGAGACACTTCAGTGAGAAATAACCAGCAAATAACCAAATAAGACCTACCTGATAGCCTAAAATGGTGCGTTCACCAATTGTTTGCAGTGGAGCGCTCCAAGTCAGCGTTACCTCGCCGATTGCCGTTCCTATCACATCAGGAGCTGTTGGGGCAGCCGGGACGCCTCGATCTTAAAGACAAGAAGGAAGTATAAAAGTGGAAAATGGAATAAATGCTCAGTCAGATCAACCAGACACATGATATTATGGCAAATACCGAGTTTCAAGGACTGCTGACTTTACGAGAAGCAATTTTTCACAAAAGGCTTGTTTACTCTTTACCCGCTTTGATGATGCTTGGTATTAAACGGTGTAAAAAAAACTCGAGCAGACCTTCACTTAAGTTCCCATATCGGCTGCCTAGAGGAGGTGCGGGAGGTGGCGCTGACCGGCTTTCTTCTTCATTCTTGTGTAACCTAAAAAGGGAACATGCAAGTAACTAGACGCTACTGTATGATATGATTACAGACCTGATTCCGAGATCGTCTATGGGTGCTCCAAGCTCCGTAATTGGAGACGGAGTCGGCAAACCTGTTGCATCAAAATACATATCGGCATATGGACTTCCAACGGGAATCTGCCGCACCGATCTAGTTGTCGTCACCTTCGTGACTCTGGTAACCTAAAGTACAATCGATTTTTTCACCGCCAAGGCAAGACCTGAATTCTACTTTACAAACTGTTGATGAGCCCACAAAGACCGGTACTGAAGAACGGTCGTTAAAGGCAGTGGGGTGGAATGGTTATGGAATGTTAGTAGACATTTCGGGCATGTCAAAGCATCTGTACGAAATTTAGGACTTCCTAGCGCAACCTGTGAGAGCGTCCTTTCATAATCAAATCAAGGGTATCGAACAATCGGATGAAGGGAAGGTCGGTATGAAAATTCTCAACAATGTAGTCAGGAGAACTTACAGGGTAAGGAACAGGGAAAGATCGTTGAGTAAAAAAAAAACAATAAAATTCAAAAATATAAGCTTTAGGATCACAGTCGAGCAAAACCAAACCTTGTGAGTTTGTTGAGTAGTAGTGCCATCCTCAACAGCAGCGTACCGATCGTCTTCGTCTTCAATGTCAGGAGGATTGTCGTAGTGTGATTCGTAAGTGTAGGTGTATGATGATCCACGTGCACTAGCCGGTCCCATCAATGACTCCGTCACATATGAAGTGGCCATCCTTCAATCAGCAAACAGCTAATACATCTCATTTGAACACGAATATTCCACAATCTAGTAGACCAGTCACACAGGTATGTGGCTCCAGAACAAAAAAGTGTACGACTTTCATTGCTAATCGTAGTCGTTTCTACTAAGATTATCTAGACCGCAGAAAATAATAATGGCAACAATTAATGACTGCGCTTCTACTATTCTCTACTTCTACTACTCAACTCCAAGAGTACTCTGCGGTTATACTAGTGACTGAATGATCTCAAAACCTAGCCATATAGAGCAATATTCCACCTTGTAGAAGCCTTTCTTCACTAAGTTCAGAACAAGGACGGAATCAATGCGAAACTCAATACCTACTTCTAAAACCGATATACTTTCTTTTGACTCGGAATCTTATATGTCTGTCTGCCCTACTAAGAAAGGATTTCACCCAGAAACCAGAGAAATCCAAAATTTTTTCGAATACTCCTCAAGAAAATCAACAGATTCGGACCACACGGTTACAGATTTGCTGTACTTAACTGGATATATTTAGCCTCACCATGGGTTTCTCAAACGAGTTGGAGCGAGTGACAACAATGGTGATGGAAATAAAACGTGAATGTTGTATTGAAACGCATTTAACAAATGTAATCGTTATTGATCACATTCGCACTCATGATGTTCACTAGCGAACAACCACAGAACTGAAGATCATCCAAGAGATTTTCGATTATCGTGGATAAAAAGTTGCTCACCCCCCCCCCCCCCNAGTAGAACGATCTCCCCATAACCAAAAAATGTCCTCTGTGGTGGACCTATTGACCCGTGACTGACCTTCATGGTTCTAGAACAAATGAGTCAGTTCACACTTGCTTCATTTTCCGTGAAAAGAACAGCAGTGAAGCAGCAATCCTTTTCTTTTTCACCTCCACCTCTCAGCAACCAGTAGTAGTCTACTACCCTAGAGTTCAAAAGGTAAAGCTGTCATTAATTCCTGGAATCAGCTCGAACCCATGAAAGTTACTAAGTGTGTAATAAACGTGACTTCGTGCCATGCAAAAGGAAGTTTTTTTTCTTTACGGGCAACAATTTCTACATCTTATCGCTAAAGCCCCAAAAAAAGCTGCTCGAGTTCTCGTTCGGGTGTTCGAAAAGTACTGAACAAATAGAAAAATCGAAAAAGAAGGAGAAGAAAAAGGGAAACCAATGAAAACTTGCGATCAATAGATTTACAATGAGCGAAAGTAAGAGAGAAGAAATTTAAAAAAAGAATAAGAAATGTAAGCTAACCACCAACTCTTAAGCGAGCCATGGGTAACTACTGTATGAGACAAGGAAAGCGATTATTCTTAATGAAAGAATTACCTCATCTCAACATTGAAAACAGAAGAAATGCGAAGCGTAGAGCTGTAAGAAAGACTTTTGAACTTTTTTTTCAAATTGTGCAACCTCCGTCATTCTTCAACCTTATCAAAATGTCTCATTTAATATATTAAGACCCGTGATACTTCAGAAAGCAGTGTTATGAAAGTATTTTCTAATTTGAGTTTCACTCTAACTCTCTTTTAAGAGTACCCAAGCAGAAAAATGAGGAGTTAATACCAAATCAATCACGAGTTCAATCAACAGTGAATGTGTGAGGTGTCGAAGTTCTGAGTAAATCAGGACAGTGAATTATGCGCTCACTTAGTACTCACTAATTCAGTATCGCGTTACATCTAGAGGAGAACGAACACACTCATTAGCAGTTTTTTTGCAATGGCAACACTATCGTAAATGAGTTAGTGCGATGACAGGAGGAGGTGAATACTTGTCCTCGCAGCCAACAATTACCAATGAGTCACATGTCAAAAGAAGTTATCGCGAAAGTGATCATTTGCCTTTATGTTCATGATGAAAATTAAAAAGAGCAGGGCTGACATAACATCAGATAAGCGAAATTATTTCAGAACAGCCGCGATAATTGGCCAGTCATTCATTTTGTTATAGTATGAAAGAATCGGTTCAAAAAACTTATCACTGACCACAAATGCGCCACTGATAGCTTTCAAGAAGTGTTAAGGTTTAAAGATTAAGTTCACACCGATCGTTCTGGTATAATACTACTGAACAGACGTCTGCAAACAGGTAATGAAGGTTTTATGAGATTTAGGGATGATTAGGCTAATCCTTTGACTGTGAGCGACATCTGTGGGTCAGGAATGCGCTGAGTGAAGATTTTTAGCCCCGAAAACAAACGCAAGACCTGGTCATTAATATTGGCTACTGACATCAAACAAATCTCGGAAAATGTTACACTAAAACGAGNGATTTAGGGATGATTAGGCTAATCCTTTGACTGTGAGCGACATCTGTGGGTCAGGAAGGCGCTGAGTGAAGATTTTTAGCCCCGAAAACAAACGCGAGACCTGGTCATTAATAATGGCTACTGACATCAAACAAATCTCGGAAAATGTTACACTAAAACGAGCACCACGTCGATTACAAAGGCTCAGGTGAGAGTTGGTATGCAATTATTCAAAATAATGGTTCCATAGAGAACATGAGGCAGCCAAACATAAAGTGGAAATTGAGAAATCGGAAGAACTCGTAGAAAGAGAGAGAAATTATCCGGCAAATTTTATCTATTTGCAGTCACTAAGAGAACGATGAGCAAACAGAAAGAAAATTAAACGTCGGAGATTGCCACCGACGACAAAAAAAGAAAAAAAAGGAAACAAGTTTGACTTACATTGGATCAACGACCTCGTTCTCGATGACCCACTCTTCTGGCACAATTTCTTTCGGAACAGTACTGAAATACGATCGATGAACTGAGAATCGTCAAGGAGCCATGAAATGACAACCAAAAAACAAACACGTCAACCAAACACGACACTAGCACAGTACCCCATAAAGCAAGCAAATCTACCAATAACCTCTGCACCAAAGAAAAAAGAAGAAAAAAAAACGAAGAAAAAACTGAAATTTGCTGTAAACACAAGTGAAAAAAGAGAAAAAAACACTACTTGCAAGAACTACCACTCGTATGAATTCTCGAGCAAAAGGCAGGTGCAATTATAGCACGCGAACTTCCTCACTCACCCCTGCTGCGAAAAGAATCGATTGAAAGCATAGAAAGACCACAAAACACATGCACAACAAGACCAACTACCTCAGAAATGAAAAAGCAGCCCCAGTTCAGTGGCTAGTGAGCGAAAGGAAAAGTGAAATCACCGGCTCAAGTCTGTCACGAACACGGGAACGAAAAATCAGAACGAGAACTCGATTCCTACAGTGATCTTACGGGTAAATAAAATGTAATGGACGCAAAAGTTCACAGACATTAAATTCCTTTTCAGGGCATAATCTTGGGTATGGGTACTTACGTGCGTCCGAGGATGCGCGCGGCAAATTGCGCGGCGAAGTTCGTGGCGAATTTGGACGACTCCGGCGCCTATCATTGGGGCCCAAATCTGAAGTAAGGTAGATTAGTAAGGTCAGCTGATCCTACTATTCTACTGTACTTCGAAATTGGGCCCAAATAGTAGGCGCTAAAGTCGCCAGAATAGGTATGGGTTTCGCCGCGCAATTTGCCGCGCGCCCCCTCGGACGCACGACTTGACCGTCCCCCAAAATGCACGGATAGAGGCGAGATTCAGGCCCGGACTCATATTCCCACACTGGGGCGACATTGTTTCAGTAATTATTGTAATTATTCTACAATTAATATTGCGGTAGATATCTGGACATGGACTGAGCCCTCGTTCGTGCCGCTGGCAGTAAAACATGCAACCGGTTTCGCCAGCGAAAATACCTGTCGGTCATCCGTTATCGTAGATATAAATTTTATGGGACATGGCAGTGAAACAGTACTTTACGACGGATTCTAACATTTGAAATAATTTGGGATGTTTTGGACAAGGAAATGAGTAAGAGCTAATGAATGGGTGATGGCTAAGGGATAGAAATCATTTGCTGACAGACAACTTCTCCACTTGTCATCGATTACGATTGTAAAGTGAAGCAAAAAATCGGCCGGAACGATGGATTCTGTCAGAAAGGAGGTTGGAAAAAACCTCATAATTTTAAAGAGAAAGCCATTCCCATCTGGCATCAACACCTACTTTTTATGATGAAAAGCTTGAGCTTGACTATAGCCGAGAATCGAGTGTGGATGGAATTCGCTCTCCCTCGAGATCTTAGTGTGGCCGTTGAGAAGAAATGGATCAGCACCCAAAATTCATGCTGAGAAAGTAATATTGGAAGGACCCCTTAGACAATTTTTGAGAGTGGTTTGTGA